TTGTTGCTGTGGCCCAGGTTTGGGGTCAGCTTGAGGCTAGACGCTCATTTGAACCCTGACCTTACGAGTCACCCTGTGTCCAGGTTCATTGCTTGCCATCACATGCAGATGCCATTACTAATGCCTACTGTAACAATTGCTGAGGCTTGGATTTAAGATTAGGTCAAGCCTGAACCCCATTTATTACCCTAACCCTAACCCTACCAGCGACCTGTGGCACATTGCTGATGCAGTTGGCCAACGTGTGCCAACGCTTGCAGGTGTGCTAGTGACGCTGCTGATGACCACTTTGGCCGTCTAGCCAGCCAATATCATCCAGTTTCAGCTCGACAGGTCTGAGACAGGGCTCGTGGCGGTGGACACCCTGCAGAACATCTACTGCAGCGCATCAGCTGGCGCATGCCTCGTCCACACACTTGACCACTGTGGAGAGCACATGTTGCTCCCCACAGCACAGACCTTCTGCAGCAGCTTGAGCGCACTCATGTCTAAGAGCCAGGTGGCAAAAAATCTGTGGATAGAAGTGACTGGCAAGATGCTCCGATCAAAGTCAAAGACAAGGTCAGTCTCAATGTCTTGATGATAGGTATACACATCGCCATGGGGCTGTGCAGCAGCAAATGCAGCAGGACATAGGCTGTCGTCGCATTTACTCCCTTTGACGGTCACCACGATTGCAATATTCACCATGTGCTTGTGCTCATCACGTGTCTACTTTGCACGCTGGGCTGACACAGTCCAATGCTGTTTCAAATGGGGCTGTGCAGTCAATGACACTGCGACAGCATGAATGTAGCAGGCAACACTACTAGTATAGTTATAAACTGTTACTGTTAGTTTGCCATTCCATTTGCATAAGACTTTGTTTCACGATCCTAAGCCTAATTTGAACTCCAAAATTTGAAATATTCAACTTCAAAACACGACCAACAGTATGCTGCATGCTGCCGCGCCACTTTCAGGTGGTGGTCCGAGTTTGAGGTGCTCATGCAGGTGCTGGCTGCAGAGCAGCAGTGGCAGACAGCTTCCAAGGGCAGCGCCATAGCGGCTTTCTTGAAGATCGCGGCTGCCAAGCTTCCGAAGAACGACACCGTCACCAAGAGCTTGATGCCCAAGTGGCACATCCAGGCTAATCAGCGCGCCATCTTGTTTGAGCTTGTCTGTCTGCAAGCTGCAGCAAAGCCTTTCGTAGAGGCTACCTACCTGTCGAGGGGGATGGTCCGCTTGCCATGGTCGCTTACGACGTTATCAGCCGGCTGGACAACATCAGGCGGGACATCCTGCCAAGCATGCTCTTTCCTGGTGTCCAAGAGCTTGCAGCAAAGTACGGACGGGCGAACAAGCCCCCCCCCGAAGCTGGAGCACAGGTAGTGTGTTCACATGTGATTGACATAGAGTCCCTCACGAAATATTGATGTGTTCCAAACCTACATTATGAATGCATGCTAACACACCTTTTGGCTGCCAGCGCGCTAAGGACATAATTGTTGTCTGTGATGATGCTAGTCTACCGTAAACTACCGCTGCCGTGCATGGTTGGTCTTGACACTACTATATTACTATACGGTTATCTACATCATAGCAAAATTTCTCGACAAGCGCAGTAACCACATTGTTTGTAATGCTGTCTGTTTACAGTACAGCATGTCATGCGCGTGCCATTGGGTGATGTTAAAATACCTAGCACTGCACGCTTGCGAGCAACATAGCTTCCTGGCTCCAATCAGCGCACTAATCACATCGTGTGTCTGCTGTTGAATGCGCTGTGCTGCAGAATGTGAGGTCCAACCGTGTGCCACTGGGCTTGCAAGGTGCAGAAAATCAGGTAGCCAGCACCGCAGCCCGGCAAGTTGCAAGTGCACAGCAGCATCCGATGGAGCTGCAGTGGCTGCAATACGGCATGTACCTTGTTTTTGGGTGCTTCAGCTACTTCAATTCCACCATTGTGAAGCACCTGGCGCCCCACCTGCTGCTGTACAAGGCAGCAAGGCTTTGCCACCCCTTGCGCATGGCTGACCTGCGTCAGTGCGCAGGATGTACGCACGCTACTGACTGATGCTGGTCTTCTTGATTTTGCACCATTCCTGAAGCGCTTTTCCACAAACAATCTTGTCATGGAGCTAGGCGCTTATAAGACAGCAGTTGAGGGCCTGGGGAAGGGTGATCCAAACTTCAAGACCGAGCACATCATGCCCTTTTGGGCTAGACACCGCATTGACCTGCCTAACTGGTGCTCGCTTGCACAAGCGTTTGCCACAGTGCGGCCATCTTCTGCCGCGGCTGAGCGTGTGTTTTCCATTTTGAAGAGCTCTTTTGGCGACCAGCAGGCTCATGCGCTCGAGGACTATGTAGCGAGCAGCTGTATGCTGCAGTACAACAGTCGCACGTCCTGATGCTGATGTACATGTACAAAGTTTTGAGTGAGACAGTCGACCGCGTTCGCCACCTTTTCTTGTGTGCACCGGCCTGTCGTGCTTGTTCACCGTGTGCAGCAGCCTGTTATGCTTATGCATGCGCCGTATCTTACATTGTGCCCTTTGTTGATGTTATGCTCATGCTTGGAGTTAATGGTGTACACTTGCCCTTTTTGTTCAAGGAGTTGGCAATGCACTCAGCACTGTGCTCAGGGGGGGGGAAGGCAGATGTGTTACGCAAGGCCGGGTTAGCTAAGCGTCAGATCCTCATTGAGCTGAGCATATCGCTGGCGCAGGAGTTGGCGGAGCGCGTCATGGCGTACACACGTGGAGCGCGGCTGCTGGGCTGTGTTGCGACGCCGTATCCAAGCTCCTAGGGCACAGCGCAGACTAGGCTGCTGCGTTGACGCAAGCTTTTCGATTGCATAGGCAACCCGGCCTCCCTTGGGCCTTATAAATACAAGTCTATACGTACACTTGCCCTTTTGGTGTTCTGCTGCGGCAATGCGGCAAGATGGACCATAGGGCTGTGATGTCCCATCGTCAACAGACCATTGTGACAAATCTGTACAAGTGCCTGGGGGCTGCAGAGGGCTGTGGGATGACTGCTGGGTGGTTTTTCAAAACAGGAAAAACAGGATTTATTTCACGAAATCGGCCACTTTTGGGCAGGAAAAAAAACAGGAAATGGGCAATATCAAAACACGTTTTGTGTCGGAGCCTACTACAAGTAGAGTCCGGCTAGAAGTAATAAAGAAAAAAATATAAACAAATAATGCATCTTTAGCTCAGTTGGACGAGCATTGGCCTTCTAAGCCATGGACATAGGTTCGAATCCTATAAGATGTAATTTCTAGTAATAGTGGGTAATTAAGTTGGTGTCTTTTATACAAGTTTGACAGCTATTAGACAAACAGATTTAAAACGAATCATTGCTTATACTTCTGTAGCTCATATAAATCTTGTAATTCTTGGTATTTTTAGTTTTACATCTATTACTTGTTTTTCTTTGCCCATTTTTTACCATTATTAGTTCTTGTACTTTTAATAGGTTTAGAATTAGGTGTAGGATTAATTCAAACATATGTATTTACTATTTTAATTGCCGTTCATGCCAGCAGCTGCACCAGATTACAATGATGTCACACGAGGCATAACTTCCACAGCTGTGAGTGAATCGGGAGGCGGATTCAAGTTCCCACTGAGGTCGACAGATACGCCAGTAGCCACAGATATCAGTGATGAAACACGAGGTCTCAAGCTGCAGAGCGTGGAGGCTGCCATGTCGCAGACTACAGACATCATGCAGCTGCACCAGATAGCTAGGGACGTGCAAGAATTGGGGAAAGACGTCCCAGTTGAGCTGCTCAGATGTGCGACGATGGCGGTAGTAGCTGAGACGAGGTACCATGCCAGCATGGACACGCTGGCTCACATCGACGGTACAGACATGCAGAACGTGATTGAGAATGAAGACAACATCTTGGAGATCGTCGAGACATACAAGAATGGAGCCCCTACATGTGGCGAAGGCACTTGTACAGCTGGACCGACGACGACGCCACCTCAGGCTGTTGCAGCACCTTTTTGTATATGGACAAGGAGATGGCGGGCCAGGCGGAGCCTACTACAAGTAGAGTCCGGCTAGAAGTAATAAAGAAAAAAATATAAACAAATAATGCATCTTTAGCTCAGTTGGACGAGCATTGGCCTTCTAAGCCATGGACATAGGTTCGAATCCTATAAGATGTAATTTCTAGTAAAAGTGGGTAATTAAATTGGTGTCTTTTATACAAGTTTGACAGCTATTAGACAAACAGATTTAAAACGAATCATTGCTTATACTTCTGTAGCTCATATAAGTCTTGTAATTCTTGGTATTTTTGGTTTTACATCTATTACTTGTTTTTCTTTGCCCATTTTTACCATTATTAGTTCTTGTACTTTTAATAGGTTTAGAATTAGGTGTAGGATTAATTCAAACATATGTATTTACTATTTTAATTGCCGTTCATGCCCAGCTGCCACCAGATTACAATGATGTCACACGAGGCATAACTTCCACAGCTGTGAGTGAATCGGGAGGCGGATTCAAGTTCCCACTGAGGTCGACAGATACGCCAGTAGCCACAGATATCAGTGATGAAAACACGAGGTCTCAAGCTGCAGAGCGTGGAGGCTGCCATGTCGCAGACTACAGACATCATGCAGCTGCACCAGATAGCTAGGGACGTGCAAGAATTGGGGAAAGACGTCCCAGTGGAGCTGCTCAGATGTGCGACGATGGCGGTAGTAGCTGAGACGAGGTACCATGCCAGCATGGACACGCTGGCTCACATCGACGGTACAGACATGCAGAACGTGATTGAGAATGAAGAAACAACATCTTGGAGATCGTCGAGACATACAAGAATGGAGCCCCTACATGGGCGAAGGCACTTGTTACAGCTGGACCCGACGACGACGCCACCTCAGGCTGTTTGCAGCACCTTTTTGTATATGACAAGGAGAATGGCGGGCCAGGCGGAGCCTACTCAAGTAGAGTCCGGCTAGAAGTAATAAAGAAAAAAAAATATAACAAATAATGCATCTTTAGCTCAGTTGGGACGAGCATTGGCCTTCTAAGCCATGGACATAGGTTCGAATCCTATAAGATGTAATTTCTAGTAAAAGTGGGTAATTAAATTGGTGGCTTTTATACAAGTTTGACAGCTATTAGACAAACAGATTTAAAACGAATCAATTGCTTATACTTCTGTAGCTCATATAAGTCTTGTAATTTGCTTGGTATTTTTGGTTTTACATCTATTACTTGTTTTTCTTTGCCCATTTTTTACCATTATTAGTTCTTTGTACTTTTAATAGGTTTAGAATTAGGTGGTAGGATTAATTCAAACATATGTATTTACTATTTTAATTGCCGTTCATGCCAGCAGCTGCACCAGATTACAATGATGTCACACGAGGCATAACTTCCACAGCTGTGAGTGCAATCGGAGGCGGATTCAAGTTCCCACTGAGGTCGACAGATACGCCAGTAGCCACAGATATCAGTGATGAAACCACGAGGTCTCAAGCTGCAGAGCGTGGAGGCTGCCATGTCGCAGACTACAAGACATCATGCAGCTGCACCAGATAGCTAGGGGACGTGCAAGAATTGGGGAAAAGACGTCCCAGTTGAGCTGCTCAGAATGTGCGACGATGGCGGTAGTAGCTGA